GGTTGGGCAATCCTACTTCCGTAGTGATACTGCCTCGGAAACCCAAGAAGGGGTCGCTATGAGTCGGGGCCGACTCAACGGCACATAACAACAACAACAACAACAGTGAAAATAAGAGTTTTTGTTAGCTTCTAATTCAGCTATTAATTGGTTAATTTCTATGACAATAATAAAGAGTATTTGGGGACAGGAATAAGGGTATCCCAGTTAAGAATAACTGCCCTACAATGAAGGATGCTATAGGATGAGAAGAATGCTGTGCATAAGAAACTGAGGCTGTTTGAGAGCCACTGAAGCAAACTTTGCAGGTAGAATCTACACCCTAAAATCACTGAAGAGAGGTTAGAACCAACACAACAGCTCTATTTTGGTTGTAAGAAAAAATAAATAAATAAATAAAAGGAGGCTTCCTTTACTACTCCAACTTGATTACTTAAAATGAACAACTGGAATAGCAATTATCAGTTAAAAGGACGTTAACACAAAGGAAAGAACAATGTGTAGGAGAAAAAGATCATCTGAGGTAACACAAAGCTGGGCGATGTTTTACTCTCCAGCTTCTTCCCTGTTTCTCAAAGCTTTGAAACCTTTTCCATTACAATGTTTGCATTAAAATAATTTGTCAATCTGTTTACTTGTGCATTATGTATTTTTCTTTATTATGTAATATTATGTGTATTATTATTCTGTATTATCAATATTGTTTTAAGAACTTGAAAAACCCCAAAATATCTCTTGTTCAAGTCAAAGGAGATATGAAAACAATTACTGATCAGTGAGAAAGAAATCTCATTGTACCTACATATTCCATTAAAAAATACTGCTTTGCATTTTTTCTTTTTATATACAAAGTATAACCCAATAGAAAAATTTATTTATTCAAATTACCCTACTAAACTTTTGGAAAACTTACCTATTTGAACTATTAGGTCAAAGCCCAGGCTTTCAACTCACGCAGAAGAAACTTGATGTATTACAGCTGATTAAAAATATCTCTCAAATTTAACAATATTACTAACAAAGAATTTCCAGGTAGAAGGAACCTAGAATAGTATAATCATAAAAGTCCAAGAAAAATTTTTCTTAAAGGAGGTCATCGACCAATGTCCATGAAAGATGAATGGATAAATAAATTGTGGTACATTCATATGATGAAATATTACCATTAATATACAGTTCTGATACATGTTACACCATAGAAGAAGCTTGAAAACAGTATGCTGAGCAAAAAGGTCAGTCACAAAAGAACAAATGGTGTATGACTCCTTGTATGAAATTCTTAGAATAGGCAAATGCAGAGACAAAATTTATTAGTGGTGACTAGGGGCTGAGGGGAGAGGGAAATAGGGTGCTATTGCTTAAGGAATACTGAGTTTCTGTTTAGGGTGATGAAAACCATTTGAAAGTGTATAGTAATGATAATTGCACAACATGGTAAATATAATTAATGTCAATAAATTGCACACTTAAAAAAATGGTTAAAGTGGCAAAGGTTGTGTTACATATATTTTACTACAATAAAAAAAAAAAAAAGGTTGAACCAAGTACATTCCAGGGTAATTTTTTTACCTTCATTTATCATTTGATAAAGTTACTCTTACCTATTGCCATAAATATTTCATTTACATTCATTGATGTTTTAGCTGACGTCTCCATGAACAATAAACTGTTATCATCTGCATAGGACTGTGCTTCCTGTTCAAAAACACAAAATAATGAGATACAGTCATTGGACATACTATACTTGCTTTTATTTTCATCATAGAAAAAAAAAGGCGGCTTCCTTATTAGTACTCTAATTTGATTACCTATAATCCTCAACTGTGTAATACGCAATTACTAGTTAAAATCTGAGCCACTGGGTGGCACAAATGGCTAAGCACTTATGTACTGTATCAAGGCTGGCAGTTTGAACTGTGAGGTGCTTTGGAAGAAAGGTCTGCTGATCTACTTCTGAAAGGTCACACCCTTGAAAACTGCATGGAACACAATTCAACTCTGCACACATGGGGTCGTCATGAGTCAGAATCAACTTGATAGCAACTAGTTAACTGCTGATAACTAGTTAAAAGTTTCTTAAAGGTAAAAAAGCACTATAGAGGTAATTTTCCTACTTGTATGTTATCTTCTTTTTGCCCCATTTTGCTTTAATTTCCTCTTGCATTATCCCACCCTGATCAAATGACAAGTTCCAGAGATCAAGAAAATTACCCTATTCTAAATATAAAACTCTCTTTGGTCTCAATGGTAATTTTTACTTATGCCCAGTATTTGTAATGAAGACAAAGGAATACTTCTCACTGCAATTTAAGTGGTCTATTTACCATTCTATGCAGTGGAGGTAGCTGTCTTAGAAATACTATGTTGCTGTTGTATGCCATGGAGTCCATTCTGACTCATAGGCCCCTAAGAGGGCAGAGAAAAACTATCCCAGAGAGTTTCCAAAGCTGTAAATCTTTATGGAAGCAGACTAACACCTTTCTCCAGTGGACAAGCTGGTGGGTTTGAACTGGTGAACTTTTTGGTTGGCAGCCAAGCACTTAACCATACCACCACCAGGGCTCATCAAAAGGCTAAGAGGTCCTACTTTATAAAAACTCATGTAAACAATTTTTGACGTAACCAACCTACTTGCAGAACATACTGCTATGAACCACCATGTTCATTATTTCACTGATACCAAACCAAAACCAAACCCACTGCCATCGAGATGATTCCGACTCATAGCGACTCCTACTGGGTTTCCGAAGCTGTAAATATTTACAGAAGTAGGTTGCCCAGTCTTGCTTCTGTGGAGTGGCTGGTGGGTTTGAACCACCAACTTTCTGGTTAGCAGTCAGATGCCTTAGGCATTGTGCTACCATAGTACGGTATAATGTAGAAAGTCATACTTGGGTTTAATTTCAAATTCAAATACTAGATGTGTAGGCTTCACTCACCCATACTTGATATGGTTATCACAAGAATTAAATGAAACCACATGTGTAAAGTGCTTGGTTTACTACCTAATGGTGCAAGAAATATTAGGGCCTGTTCTCAAAGTACATATACTCCATCCTCTTGCTACATCATCATCAACAAAGAAAATATTCCATCACTGATACTAACATAATGGCTACACCCAGACTTTGCTAACAGAAAAGCCGACAAGTGAAATCACAGGAGTTTTTAAAAAACTGAGTATAATTATTATTTTTTGGTTTATTTTTAAATGTGGTACCATCTCTATTTTGTAGCAAGGAATATTCTGACTTTGCTATAGTAGACAACATATTAGATACAAATTGGATTTTTTGGTCTTTGTTTTTGAATGCCTTTTGAAGAACCATCACATGACTATAACTGTATGTGTATATGTGGGTGTGTGTGGGTGTTGATAATATTATCGGTAGATTAATAAAAAAATAAGCTAGGGGGGACATTAAAGTATGTGTGTATGGGGAAGAAAGAGGGTAAGGGTCATGGGTCATTCATTTTTAACTATATATTTTTGCACTATTTTCAAACAATTATTTCTTTTTAACTATTTTGATGAACAAAATCTTTGAATCAATTTTTATACCTTATAATAATGAAAACACTTAAAATTCAAGTTTATTAAAAGGAACACTACACACATTACATTTGCTTAAAATAAAAAATCTGTATTTGTATTATTTGTCTGCTTTTTAAATTATAACTGTAATTCAAGTGTAGATGCAGAAGGAAAAATTATAATGAGTATGTGAAAATTAAGTTCAACATACCTGGAAATCTACAGCTCTTTTATTTGCTAGGTCAGCCTTGTTTCCTGATAATGCTATTACAATGTTAGGACTTGCTTGCCTCTGAAGTTCTTTAACCCAGTTTTTCGCTCTTGCAAAGGATTCCTGTTAATACAAAGAAATAGCTATTTGGCATGGGCTCAAACAATGGCTAGGGAGCATCTTGGTTGAGACAAGGTTGAAAGACTGTCCAGTATTGCTGGGTGGAAAGAAATTCTTAGGATTACTGTATTATTTGAGACACTTCCACTTTATTTTTTAAAATCAGCTTTCAAACTAATACAAGGCATGTTTGGGTATAAAAATACAGACTTTTCAAAACTTTTTCTCTAATCTGAATTCTGCATATTAGAAATGGGTACTCAAACTTAACTTCATTGTAGAAAGGCATTTACTTACCTCATTCGTGATATCATATACAACTATGGCTGCTTGTGCTCCTCTGTAGTACATTGGTGCTAGGCTATGGTAACGTTCTTGACCAGCTGTATCCCATATTTCAAACTTTACTGTTGTGTCATCAAGACACACAGTTTGGGTTAGAAAAGCAGCTGAAAGAAGAAAATGTCTGCAATAAGTTTCTATCATTGAACTGGAATACTTGATATACTGCATACCCACAGTTAATAATGGCTTTAAGATCTGTGCTTCAAAGCTGAGAATAAATACAAGAGTTTCATAGTGAGATCATGGATTGAAAAAGTTTTTCTACATGTTAAAAAAGTTTGTTATAATAGTAAATAAGTTTAAACTTGCACTGCTAAATGTTTAACTTTTGACAATTTAAGAACATGTGTACACCCCTATGGCTTCCAGCCAAACAATAGGCATATGAGTTGAACATTTACCTGAGGTAGATACACTCCTTGGAGAGAACAAGCATGGGAGAAAGAAGGGCTGCTTATGCACCGGGGGCAGGAGTGCATAAGAGGGATGGACCCAGGGAAGAGGTAACTATCGGGAGGAAGTAGGAGGGGAGATGTTGCATTGTAGTAAATTGTGGTCAATGTCATGAGACAAAGTGTATGTGAACTGCTGTAGGGAAAGTCTTTTGCTCTGTAAATTTTCACCCAAATCACAATTAAAAAAAAAAAAAAAAAAGAATATGTGTATACTGACTGATACTCTTTGGGCAAAAAAATAAAACCAGCATACCTGTAACTACCATCTACATTGGAAGCAATATGCCCTGTTCCTGGCTTCATTGTACTGGTTTTGACTGGCTAACTCTGTGGAATTTAGTTCTAATCCATTACCACTAAATTAGTATTTTTTGTTGTGATACGATTCTTTCAAAATATTACAACACTTTAGTTTTAAAATTATTATTACATCAGCCTAGACTTAATTTGTTAAATACAGATTCAACATTCATTACTAACTCATTCATTCCTCACTCTAAGGATTTTTGGATTTGTACTTTTTTTCATCTGTAGTTTTCTCATGTTTATTATTATTATTTTTTAACACTAACATCATTTAAAAGGAGCTCTAGTGGCGTAGTGCCTAAGGCATTTGACTGCTAACCAGAAGGCTGGTGGTTCAAACCTACCAGCCACTCCATAGAAGGAAGACTGGGCAATCTACTTCCATAAAGATTACTGCCTCAAAAACTCAAAGAGGGTCACTATGAGTCGGAAATCAACTCGATGGCAGTGAGTTTGGTTTTTATAAACATCATTTAATGATCACATTTTTAAAATTAAAACGCCAAATCTTGCAAAGAATTAATCTATCACTTATTTTTGCAATTTGCTTCATGAGGATAGTTTAAGGTAAAATGCCTATTATAATTTTTTTGGTTATAAGAAAGATACTGCAATGAGTACTTAATGAAAATGAAAAATATATAAACTTTTAAAAGGAAGGTTTTATCAAGTGACTTGAACTTCATCAACAACTAGGTAAGTTTCTAAGTGTAGTTAGCTGCACTAAAGAAGATAACTATGTAAAATGCCTACACATAACCATTTTAAGCAGCACGCTGGCTGACAGCTACCACACTGTGCAGCTTCCCTCCTCCATCAATTCTGGGGGTCAACCTCCTGACACTGCCCTATCAGTCATCATAAACTGGAATGCTCCTCTCTTTCACTGTCAGCTCAAGGTGTGATACTGAAACCCTTCTCCTAAAGTGGCATGGGACTTAAATACCAAATATTCCAAAACCTGTCACATCAGGTTCATTTCTCTAAATTATAGTGGCTTATCTAGTGATATCAGTATTTCACAAAATATTGACTAGTCAGTGACATCAAATGTACTGAATAATCCAAATGTAATTAAATATTACATCTCTTTTATATTAGACATAACATCTATCTTCATGCTAGTTTTTTTTTTCCTTTAACTCCTTTATTTATTGTTTAGTAATTTAGCAATACTTCAACAATAATATCCAAAAAGAATGTAGACACTCCTGAGAATATCTCTGAATTAGTGAATCTGAAGAATGTTTCTGAGGAACAAAAGAGGGGGATGTCTCTCAATATCACAGAACCACAAAATCAGAGAACTCTTGTCTATTTGCTTCATCTGGTGCTGTCTTACTGCCATACACTTTTATACTGAAATGTTATGAATAACACTTATTTAATAATATGCTCTCTTGCTTCCTTCAGGCCTCCCAAAGTCATTGCTTTTTTGGAGCTGTGGTTTTCTGGGGTACTGTTTTAATCATGGTCCTCTTCTTCTCAATCTCAAGGTTTGGAGCATCAAACCTTGTGACAAAAAAAAAAAAAAAAACCTTTTTTTTTTTTTTAAAATTTTCCTTTATTACTGCAAAAATAGACATAACACAATATTTGCCAATTCAGTATTTCTTGGGTGTAGAATTCAGTAATACCAATTACATCAATCATCTTGTGCAGTCTTCACCAATATCTGTAGCCAATTTTTTTCCCTCATGAGTACCAGTAGCAATAATCTGAATTTTGCAAACATAATTATAATAAGAAATGCACATCTATATTTTGAACTAGGTTTTAATTAATCTGTGAATTCTCACAAAGCAAATCATATTTTAAAAATATTCTAATTCAACTTACATTTCTTTTACAATCTAAAATTAACACAGATATTCATTTTCAAAAATCCTGTATTTATGATAAAGTATGAGTTAGATCCGACTCGATGGCAGTGAATTTGGTTTGGTTTATACCCAGAAACAAAGTCCCTTGGGTGGTACAAGTGTTTAATGCTCTTAAGTGGCTAACTGAAAGGTTCATGTCTATCTGGAGGCATTTCAGAAGAAAGGCCTGGCAATCTATATCCAAAAAATCAGCCACTGGTAACTCTACAGAACACAGTTTTGACACACATGGGGTTGACATGAGTCAGACTGACTTGATGACAAATGGTACACCCAGGAAGCACCAATACTTTTTTACTGTCATGAAAGGTTCTCCTGTAGAACCGAAATGTATCTTTAAACACCTAAAATTAAATCTCTAATACAGTACTACTTTTCAATAAAAGGGAAAAGAGGAAAAGAATGCCACATAGAAGTAACGGGTGACAAAATATAAGCCTTTTCTCTAGTTTGATGCAAATGTGCAAAAAAAAAAGTTGGATTAAAATTTACATTCATTTTCTCCCTATTTAGACAAACTACGACCACAAAGTACACTGATATTAAAAACATTCATTTATACTTCCACAAATCAATGCTTGGAGAAAGGAGCCCTGTAGATGGTTTGAATCCACCAGTTGCTCTGCAGGAGGAAGGACACTCTTCTCCCATAAAGATTATAGCCTAGGAAATCCTACGGTGTAGTTATACTCTGTCCTATAGGGAGCTCTGGTAGCATAGTGGCTAAGGCACTTGACTGCTAACCAGAAGGCTGGCGGTTCAAACCCACCAGCCACTCCCCGGAAGGAAGATGGGGCAATCTACTTCCGTAGTGATATTGCCTCGGAAACCCAAGGAGGGGTCGCTATGGGTTGGGTCTGACTCAATGGCACATAACAACAACAACAACAACATAGGGTTGCTATAGGTCAAAATTGACCTGACAGTGGGTATGCTTACAAAAATAACAAAACTGTACACCTTACAAGAAATATAATCTGATTCTCAAACTAGCTAGATATCACAAAAGGCCACCAATCTGTTTGATAAACATATGTATAAAAATATCAAATGAAATACAGGCAGACAGTCTAACAAAGATACTAAAAAGACAATAGCCAATAACCAAAGAGAGACTCCTTCAGAAATATAAACCACTATTATCAACTGGCTACAAAAAAAAATGTGCAGTATTATTTAAGTAAGTTACACTAGGCATCCAATTCATTATCCATCTCTAATAAACACACAGAATTCCTCCTTAAAATTTAACATGTGTCCTATCTTTAAAACCTGAAATCAGCATTACATTTAACAGCAAAATTCGCAGGCATTCCTGCTAAACCTAGAAACAAACACAAGAATATCCACTATCACTTTGCTTAATACTTTTTCAGATATCCTTATAATAATAATAAAGTAATAAATTACTGGCAAGAGACAAAAGCTGGAAGAGGCAAGACTGTGATGAAAATCCAAAATCATTAGCTAAAATAAAACAGATAATAATTAGTTATTTGAGAAGGCTGGACGAGACCAAAGTCAACAAACAGCCTTACTGAACACTGGCAAAAACCAGGTGAAAATATGCTGGGAGAGGAACTGACCTCAATTAGGTTAACAAAGAACATTATTATAAGTTCATTCCTGAATGCAACCCCTCTTAGAAACCCCCTGTATCAGACCCTACCTAGTTAGTAGCTCCTACCTCTGTGCTCCCAGAATTCCCTATGTAGTATGTAACAGAACATATTTTACACATTTTATAACCACTGGTCAACACTGAAGTAGTTCTGGTGGCACAGTGATTAAAACATTTGGCTGTTAACTACAAGGTTGGCAGTTTGAATTCACCAGCTGCTTCACAGAAGATGAGGCAATCTGCTTCCTCAAAGATTACAGCCTGGAAGCCCCTATGAGGCAATTCTCTGTCCTACAGGATCGCTATAAGCAGGAATCCACTTGTTGACAGTGGGTGGACCAATATATCTTTTTCTTCTTCTAGACTACAAGTTCCTTGAAACATGATCTAATATAAATCTCAATTTATATAGTAGTTCAAAAACATTTGCTGAAACAATGTTTATGAAATATATGTTGAACAATTTTTGGGCTATTTTAGGTAACATAAGGATAGAGAGTTTCCACATGGGAAAAATAAATTTCAAAAGTCCTCTAATTCAAGTTATTATATAACTAACAAAATCTCAAACAAATCACCATCAAGATCTTTTTACCTTAACTTGATAGCACTGTTCCATTACTCATGCTAAAGGATAAAGAGCAAAATTTAAGGTAGGAAAAACAGACCAATATTACCCAGGCAAAATGATCCTTAAAATATATTAATTCATTAAAACAATTAAAAGTGTAGCAGTGCCACAAGGACACAAATATTACTGGAATAGAAAAACTCTGTATTATAATCAACTCTTAATA